GACGCTATCCTAATGATTAGTAAATCTTGGTACGAGGTGACGAGCAATACAATAAAACATTTCTTTAAGCACGCAAGATGGCTGGAAGATCAAGGATTGACTAATGATGAAGATGACTTGCCATTAGATGTTTTCTAGTAGACAGTTTAAATTTACTACCACCTACGGACCGGAAGAGCTAAACAGATTTTAAAGAAGTTGATGAAAATGTAGCAACAACAACTGGACTTTCTGATGTGGACATCCTACAAGCAGTATATGAGAAAAAGAAGAAAACAGAGACCCGGAAGTGGAAGCAGAGCCAGAACCAGCTCCGAGCCCTCAGCAGGAAACCAACGTCACTCTCAAATCTATATAAAGTAGCAGGTTTTGCAAATCTCTCAACACACAGAGGCGTTTCAGTACACATAGAGAAAATTAAACAGATCGCGGACGAGCGGCATGCCCTATACAAGGCTCGAACACCACGAAAGCGACTTAAATCCAGGAAAATATTTATTGGAACAGTGCATGATGAATCGCCTGAGTATATTTCTCTTCTCCAGGTTCAATGGACCGGCCAGTCCCTAGACTTTAAAACTTAGAAAACTATAAATAGGATAAGAACGGGCGTAGCTCCAGTAAAAATCAAACATGACAAAATAGGGAAGATACACCAAGATGATGTGAACTGTGGCTATGGAGAAACACAGAATATGTCTTACATGCAGAAGCTGTCCTCAACGATGTACCCTCGAAAATTTAAGGCTCGCCAACAAAGATGGAACCGATGTAGACCGATACTGGGCCGAAATTTTATGAATGACATGAATGTCCGGACACGATAAAAAAACAGGCATTGAATGCGACAAAAGTACTGCGGAGATTCTGTATCCACCAGGAAGACGATATGAGTGCCGTGGAAGATTCTATGTGTCTTCTGGACATGGTCTGGACATGGAACATCAGTTCTGTGCAAAGGCAAAGCGAAACAGACCAAAGTGACAGACTTTTTTGGTAATGTAGGCTAGATATATTTTACAGTAGCATATTACTTTGTTATTATACAGTACACATGTTTTAATTGTACAGTCATTTTTTTATACTGTAATTGTGGTGTACAATACAGTGTTAATTCATTTATATTTGTTTTGATCAATTTTTTAAATTAAAGTAGGTTATTTAGGACAGTATTATTATTATTACAGAACCGAATTTTGTCTCTCTATGTATAACGATCTCCCCTTATAACGATAAAAATTCCCGGTCCTTTGCATATCGTTATAGAAAGAGAGGACTGTATCGTGTCTATGTATGTTCATTTCTGAGTAGAGTTGATGAAGGACTAAAATTTTTCCAGGAAGTCAAATAAGTTTCCAAAAGTCTGATAGGAGCTAAATAAGATTTCTCTTGGAAGTGTGACAAAATCCAGGTATATGGATTTTTTAGTTATTATAGTCCTCTACAAAGAAAACCTATATGTTTATGTAGAGGTTTCGGGTTTTTTTTTCAATTATTAACAATTTAGTGTAAAAAATACCATTTTTGTCGATTTTTTGCTTAGCATTAAAAAGCTTAATATTTGAGGAAAAATTAAAATGGCGATTGCTAAAATTTGTAGAATTAAATTGTTAGTGACAAAGAACAAAAACTATACAGGTGGGCGAATCATTTTGAAGAATTGTTTAGCGACAGCCGTGAAGAAAATCAAATAGAAATTACTTTGTCTGAAATGGATGAAAACGCTCAAGAGCCGCCTCCCCTCCCCACCGAAGTAAGAAAGCGACAAAGCGAAGGAGGGTAAGAAGAGGAAGAAATAAAGTGCCCAAAGTGACAAAAAATATAAAAAGAATTAAAGATGACAAATATGGATCTATCTACAAAAAAAAGACAAAGAAAGTACAAAAATTACTATGCTACTACCGTAATAGATCTAGACTAGGAAGGTCGACGATAATGCTATACATATTTTGGTTTATAAAAATCGTGGGAATATAACAGAAATCCATAGAGTATTTATTGGTTTTAAAAGCGCCTTCGACACAATAGACATACACAAAATGATAAATGCACTTAAATAATTACAGATATCGAAGCAACCAAGGAATTGGTAGAGATAAACATCACATCATCCGAAGACTGTCAAGCGAGATGATCAAATAGTTATGACATGGACTCCAGTGCAACGAAGAAGTCAAGGGGGATCGAGAACAAGATGGTGCGATGACATGAAATAGGGCAAAAACTAAAGTTGTAGAAACAGATAAAGAAATTTGCTCGGAAACCATAAATGTTTCCAAAACAAAGGGATAATTCCCTCATTATAGGATAGTGAAATGGGTAAGAAAAAAGGAAGAATCAATTCACGATGAAAAAAACGATCGGAGGGTGGAAAGAAACTTACGTGGACCATAAAAAACATATCAGTTGAAAGAACAACTTAAGTTTAATAAATAGATAAGGAAAATATAGATATTTCTGATATTCAGAGAAAATTAAATACAAAGTGTACTATCACACATGTTACCAGTGTTTTTTTCCTAATTTTTATCTACCTGAGATTAGGATTACCAGTAAATGACTGATGAAAATTATCAACGACCACATAGATGCTTGAAATCGTATCAACTTTCCATCTATGCGATAATTTTTAAAAGAATATTAATAGAATCTTGAAAATTGGTAAATTTAAAGAACAAGGAAGAACTCTATTAAATTTGATGTAAATAAATCACCAAAGTTAAGTATAATTCAGGATAAAGAGGACTTATGACTCCTGAAACGTATATAGTTCCTTAATTTGACATAAACATACGGTGTCTCAAATTTTATGATCAAATGGCAAGGTATTTACAAAGATGGACGTCTGATATGGTCGCATTGCAGCAGATTCAAAGATGTGTAAATAGCTAGTATTCTACAGATTAGAATAAGTTGGTTAGCGCTTATTTCGCAGTCATGTCCTTTGACATTACGTTGTAATGTTTATTTCGTATGGAGAGATACATTATATTCGATTAACTGGTTCCCAGGTACAAGATTCCTTTATGGGATAAGAAAATTGGGCAGGGAGTGTCCATTTGATCCAAAAACAGTAGGCTCTGCAGTATATCTAAAGATACAATTAGCAGATATACACACAGAAAATCTATTTAGGTCTCATTATAGTTCTTGAAAGCGTGACAAAAATTTGGAAGCCTCAAAAAAGCAGTTCATACCCGTAAGTTTACCTTCTCCAAGTTTCTCTATATGTCGTAATGTTGGATCCTTTAAAAAGGCTATAGATTTACAGTCAACTCCACTTTCTCTGTAATATTGATTGGCTCGGTTAGGAAAAGCAACAAAAATTGTAGTTTTTACACTTTTTGAAAGTAGTATGTCACTTGTTTTTGACTGTAAAACGTATATTTCTACACTTTACGCAGCATCAGTTTTTCATCAAGTAGCTCATTGTTCTGATCCTCTAGTTATTCTAGAAGATTCGTAAGTCACTCGTCCTTCAATTCATTCTTCTTGCAAACTCTACATTACTTTTCTCTTCTTATTCTATTTTTTTAAGATGTCTTCATCCGTTAGATGCTAAAACCACGTGTCGGCAGCGTTAAAGGACAACTATTCTTGCAATTCTCTTGTGTCCACATTTTCTCCGCCAGGAACTGAGTTCACTTAATTTGTAAGGTCATGTATTTCATTGTCTTGTTCTCCAATTGCTCGTTCTTCACAATTTTCGATGTTTGGTAATAGTTTTCTCCATGATTTCACAATTGTTGAAGACTTAGACTCTCATACATAGGCGATTACGTAAATACAGTTCAGAATAGTAAATACCTTCCAAAAGTCTTGCAAAAGATATATTTCTTCAATTTTTGAGCGAAGTAACTTTGTTCTATACTTTCTCATCATAGACGCAATGACGCCTTGGTTAATAGGCTGACCTAACGCAGACAGACTTAACACATGCGTTTCACGTTGAGAAGGAGAGTTGTCAATCAACAACAGTTTTTTCCTTGCTTTTAAATGTTTTTTGACTTTTAATACAAATTTAGCTTCAAACCACTCTTTAAATATTTTTGTTTATCTATCCACCCCCCCTTTTGGTTGAAGTAATCAACAGAAAGGTTTTCTGCTCTGGTGTCTTAAAAGATCTAGATTTTTTTCTTTTCACAAATTTCAGTTTGTGACTTCGTGATCTGTTTCCTACTCTATTTATGGCTAAATGCTTTACCTTCACTTTCAAAAGCTAGTGTCCGAGTTGTAAGACATTTTGAGGTAGTGTGGTTCAAAGTAAAACATTACCTTAAAATACACAATCAACTCAACGAACTAAGTCACAACACAATTACATTAACAACCCATCTTTCATCACTGCCCGACAGGAATAGATAAGGTCTTTGTTTCACCACACAGCAGACAAATAACTTTTTCACAGCACACAATTAACGAAATTAGTACTTAACGCCAAGCGTTCTGGTTAAAAGTAGCAGAAATCGCATCTCAATCTTGGATTCACGGAAATACTGAATTAAACTATAACAACAGAATGTTATATTTTTCCTTATATTATGAATAATAGATCTACTTTCTCATCAAATACATTTTTATTCAAATTAAAAATGCTTCTACAGACGTGAACGGGATTTACTGTACGTATATATGATTTAAAGATTTTTGATGTAGACATTGGTCTCTATAATACCAACATTTTACCCTGAATGAGTACAAATGACGGAATACAAGACATATAAATGGTAAGATCACGATGTATCAATTTACTTATCAAATTACGTGTTGGGAAATTGAAATAAAATGATATCAAAACTGTTCCGAAATCATTTTCATGTGGCAGGTCAATATGATCTACTATATTGAATGGAAATAGACCATAATTTTAATTAAAAATACGTCGAATATATGACGAAGTACATATTCGATAAAATTTAGACGTCAAATATAACATGTTATCAATTATAGCGGCTTTCTAATTACTTTTTGAATAGGTTAAGCAATCAAAACTATGACATAATAACAATTTAAGACTTTATTTATAAATTCTTGAAAAAAGTAAAAAACTTATTGTTCTTTCATATTTACAAAATGTACAGGACTAATATATCAGTTCATTCAACAAATATCTACAAACAGTAGGTATGTCCATGGGACACGATATCACAATTCAATAAATTAGACATCACGGATGTACTTACATCCAAATCAATAATTTAAAATTTGAAAATTTACATTCAAGTGTTCCACACTCAAAAATATCACACTGGAGTTGCTGAAGTTGCCTATTTAGAGGCATTAAGGATGGATGAATGCACATTTGTCGCCGTTTCGACAATAACCGTGATTTTGAATGTGTTTGCAGAGTCTTCCGCCTCTTCCTCCTCGTCGCCAATTGTTGCCACGACCTCCGTTCATACTAACCCAACCACCGTCATTATTACCTCCTCTACCACGACGAAAACCACCAGAACCTCTATTATTACTACGGTTATCTCTGAAGTTTTTGGGAGGAAATGAATTCATATTCTTAGGAGCTGGACCATTGGAATTTCCAAACAAAGGAGGATAATCAGGCTCTGGTCCCGGACCAGGTCCAAATCCGTCTACCATGGGACCAGGTTGGAACATATTTGGATTCATCGGGCCCATCATCATATCATTAGGTTGTAATAAATTGTGAGCGCCAATGCCTAGCATATTATTATTAGGCATCATATTATTAGGGATAAAATTATTTGGTATCTGTGGTCCCATAGGACCATTGGGAGTTGAAAATCTAGGAGCCATGAAATTTTGAGGGTTCATATTATTAAACTGGGGATTGAATTGAGGCTGCATATTGGGATATACTACGGGCATCTGAGGTTCCGGTGATGGAGGTAGACCTTTTGGTTCGGGCCAAGGGGTAGATTTTAGGTCTATTTCCTGGCCGTCGGGATCCTCGAGGGCTATGATTATTGGATCGACAATTTGGTGGTTTTCAGGAATGGGTTCCTCGGGGCTATCAGGAATTTTCCGTCTATCGAAGTATAAGGCTTGAAGGACACTTTTTTCGCGAGCAAACTGAATGTCTTTTTCAAAACTTTTACTACCGGGTGGAGCTAAAGGTTCGGGTAAATCGATTTCGAAGGGTATCCTCCACACTATTTGAACTGACATTGTATCTTCACCGCCAACTTTTCTGGAAAGTTGTAGAGCTTCTCTTTCGTTGGAGTATTCCATTTTTGCCATATCGTTGAAGGCTTTAGTCACGTTAACTCGTTCTGTTTCGTCCAACTCGAAATATCTGATTTCGACCAAGTCGGTGTCATTTTTCCAAGAAATTGTCTTTTTCGGACCTTTTCGTTTAGAGTACAATAACACACCTTTTGGTACTCCCTCGGTTTGTATTCTTTTCAATTCTTCAGGATCGTCTTCGGTGGGTGTAACAGCTCTCGGAGATCGTACCTCATTTTCTTTATTTTCAGATTCTGAAGGAACTTCATCGTCATTTAAATTAGCTAACTCTTCTTCTGGACCGTTTTCTTTATTTTCTTCTGGAGTGGTTTCAACTTCCTCGGATAAAGTATCTTGATAGAAATTTATAGGAGCAATATTCTTCAGACCAAGGGGTGATTCTGCGGGAACTTCAGTTGGTTCAACAGGCGCCGCCGACGGTGCAGCAGTTGTTGTTAAGGGCTGCTCCTCTCGTGGGGATGTAGGCGACGTGGGCGTTTCCTTTGAACTGCTCAATCTGCGTCTTCTCTTTTTCGGTTCTTTTTTCGACGTAGCAGCAGTAAGGGCGTCGCTGAAGAGATCGCTTTCTTGAAGAATTGCTGTAAAGAAAAAAATAGTTTAATAATCTGATACTAAATAAATACATATAAAAAAAATTTTGAATAAAAACGTTATCATTTAGATAAAGATTAAAGGAAATGGCAGTTTTTTTGTATAACCTGAAAATGAAATATAAAAAAAATTGTACATTATAGTTTTTACATGTTTGTGCTTCTATTTTTCAATACATCCTCGTAAATTATTTTAAAAACTAATTGTGAAAACTTTTCCAATTGTTTCACTCTTAGCAAATTAGTATCCTTCACCTAGAATAAGATTTACCTAGTTATATGACCGATTAACAAAAAACTAAATATTATTTAGAGAGGAATAAACATTGAAAATTTGCATAATGTTACATAGAACTGAATATTTATTAAGTATAAAGTTCAAATACAGAGATTTATATTATTGACCTAGAAATCTCTTAATTACAGCAGTGTATATTAACTGAGAGGCGCTTGGCGAGAGGTTATTTCTAAAGTTTATCTGAAGCTTCCGAAATGTTTAAAAAAAAGAAAGTCCTACAAATAGTCACATCGAAGTTTTATAACTTGGGAGCCAAAAATCATCTGCATAAACTTCACAGAAAACTGTTACATGACGCAAAATTATGACCATAAAAAACAGCGTTTTTATGTTTATAACTGCATTAATTTGTTGACATGTTGCTCTATTCGAATTTATCAGAAAATAACTTCAAACTGAATTTGAAGTTACGTTCGAAAAATCTAGTACACATTTAAAAAACAGCTTTTGTTTAGTTTTCGACAAAAGTTTAGTTTTTTCGGTCACGCGTTTATGATTAAAATGTTTTTATTTCAATGATTTAATTTTATTCATTTTTCTCTTTCCTTTCTAATTTCACTCTCATTTTTACTGAGTAAGTATAATTAGACACATTGTTTAATGTTTTTTTATTCATTTCATGTTCGTTTTCCATTTAGATGTACATGTTTTTCAATTCTTAATCGTCAACAATATTTATTTATGAACTGGAAACCAGCCAAAATTTGGTATGTATATATACATAATATACCTGCGATTTACTGTGTCGCACTATTTCTATTTGATAAAAATATTAGTTAAAAAATTAAATCGCAAAAATCACACAACTTTGCACCTCTATTTGAGACGACATTGCTCAAAAGTTAATAACATTTTAATAATTACTGAAATAGTGGTAATATTTCGTGAGGAACCAAGTTTAAGTTAATTTATACATATTTCATCAAGAAACTAATTGAATTTATAAATTCGGATAAAAATTTCACATTCGTAAAAAATAGTTCCTCAAATTAATATTTCTAAATTTATTATCTTCGTAATGTACAAACCCATATCCAATTTTAAGCATAAGACTCTATCTGCACATATCTCTGTTGTTTGTTATGGACGATAAAGTGTAGAGTAGCTGTACTAGAAGCTTTATGACTTCATGGGGATGAGTCTTATAATATTTCAAAAAATATATACATAATTCTGTCTGTTACTCAACGACTTATTTCAAAATCTGTACGACTACCTTTTTTAAACTCCTCTACGACTGATTTCGGTATATGTAGTGTAGAAGATATTAAGTTTTTTCGATTGTTTAATATATTTAATAACAAAATTTAAAATGGTCTTTTAATAATTAAGTAATGTCCCATCTACTTTCTTTTGCGTCCTCCAATAGAAGATTCTGCTTTTTTCAATACACTGGCAATTATTTGCTCCTCAGTTAAACTCTGAAAACCAGAATCTTTTCATCCCCTTCCACCTTTGTTGTAGTTGTATCATGACAATTTTGTTATGCAAAGTGATATTCCAAGAACTAAACAGCCACTTGTACCAACTGGTTAGGAGTTACAACTATTTATTATAACGAAGTAATTCGAAATCATTACTAGAGTAGCTTTTTAAATCAAACTCGTATACTACTAATTGTCAGTGAAAACAGTCTATGTTTCTCTGGAAGTATGTGTATTCTTTCTGAATGATTTCTATTAATTTCGTTGTTTGTAGACAGTTCATTAAGTTCTCAAACATATTTTCTTCCTTTTTACTTCAGGTATTTTTTAAATGGAAAATTTCGTGAAACAATATTTTGGGAATTTTTTTGTAATCGTATTTCGAGCGCTTTTGTGCAATTCATTCATATCCCATTGTAGATCCGTTGTGGCCAGTACGTTTAAATCGCCACAACGCAGAGGCGGCCCGTCGGATTAGGCAAGACAAGCCGCCTAACCCCTTTAAATGTACAATAAATTATTTATTATTATAAATTACTCATTTCAAAATTGTGCTGTATAAATTTTGACATAATACTTATTTAAAATAAAAGGGCTATTTTTTTATATTCTCTCTCTGAAGTTTTAATTCATTCTCTTCGAAGTAATTATTTTGCGCTTCTCGTAGTTGTTGAGAGGCGCTTCAAAATTTCGCCTGTGTGTCTCTCAGTCTTAAGCTTACCCAGGAGCAACACGGCTTCAGGGCTAGTCAGTTATTTTATCGTTTTCATAGGCGATGAATTCGGTCGCCTCCGGGCTATGAATATTTTAAACGATTAATCTGCAGTTTGATTTATGGCGCCAAAATCAAGAAAGATTACAAACTATTGTAATGGACCCTCCTGTTCCAAATTTACAAATTTTATCCGCAGATAAGAAGGATAATCAACCATTTTCGAGATTGTTTAAAACAATATGGTTATGAGGTAGTAATTCTAGGAATTCACTTTTTCACATATTTGAAAAGTTCATCAGCTAGTGTCAAAAAAATGAATCTTAATGAAAAAACATTACTTACAACAATTGTTTAGGTTTAAAAATGTTAGAAAACAATACACAAACTATTGACAGTGGTGGTCCAGGATCATATTAAAAAAACAGAAGGGGTGTTCACGGGTTTGTCAAAAACAATACAAAACGATTTAATAGAGTGTGGCTGATTAGGCACATAAAAAATGAAATTTCAAAAGAAATTATTGAAGCTTAATTTTTTTCTATACTAGCTGACGATACTACTGATATAGGTAACCGAAAAATCACAGTGTATTTTAACATGCCGTTTTTTAACAAAATTGGTCAGATAACAGAAAGATTTTTGGGGTTTTTTGATATTAATACAGTGGTATTAATGTAAGTAAGTGGTACAGTAATTAATATTAGTACAGTACATAAACCAGGGTGGGTTTGGGTGGTTAAAACCCCACCCCCAGGAACCTATTCCGACGCTGTTACTGACAAATTTTAAAGACTCACTCAAATTAAATTTTGTGATGTTACGTTTATTAGCTAGATATTTCGATAGGCTATAGTAGCGCCTGTTTGTCTGATGTATATTTCTTCCGATATGTTGTTGTAGTCGACCCATGTTCCCCAAATAGTTAACTGTTTCAATGCTTCGAACCTTTGATTGGTAAGATCTGCATCGACATTCCCAATTCTTACATGAGTGTTGGTTAGTATACACTTTAGTTTGTTTTATTTTGGTTTATGTTTCTATTTGTTCGGTGATTCTGCCCAATGCTGTTAAAAGTGATCAGCAAGTGTCAAAGTCTGGATTAAATACAGTTTCTTTCAGTTGGCGCCACAAATAATCTTTCTTAGGCTATGCAGAAAAACTGACATGCCAGCGAGTGGCCTTGTTTAATAATTTCTGCTTTCCAAAGAACGTTGATACATTATATTAAAAGAAATTATTGTTACGCATAGAACCTTTAGCCACAAGCAGAATTAAATATATATGAACAGGGTGAGGTTTTAGCGACAATGGTCGATAATTCCAGTATGGTACAGAATATCCGATAAAAAAAATGTAGACAATATTATGTATGCTTGCATAATATGCTGAATTCTACAAGGTCATTAATAACTACATGGTAAAGCGTAAACATACATTTTTTAAATAGGACACCCTGTATATTTTCTCATATTTGGATTCCTTTTATAATTCATGTTCTTACAATATGGGGTCTGACACTAATGTATAAGATATTTAACAATTTATGAAAAGTTGGCATTTTTATTCCGATATCGCTATGAAATAATCACCCTGTATATCAAGAAGGAATATATAAATATGTATTAATTTTACATAATAAGGTAAAAAAGTTATTCTAGTTTTCAAATTAAGCTGAACAGAAATCATTGACGAATATTCATATACAGGGTGAACCACAAAAGAAAATTACGTTTTTTCTCTAATTTGTTATATGTAAATCCTTCTATTTTATTTTTTTAAAGATAGCTTTTATAAAACTTCTTAATTTTTATGAATCATTTCCTGTCTTAAACTCATTAATTTCCGAGATATTTTTAATTTTCTTTTTTATACTAGTATTTAATAATATAAAAAAACTGTTCTTATTTCATAGCAATATTGAAATAAAAGTGGTCATAACTCGTTAAATATCGTGTATAGTAGTGTAAAAGGTCATATTGTAAATACAGGTATTATGAAAAGGATTTAAATATGAGAAAATATACAGGGTGTCCAATTTAAAATATGTATGTTTGCTTTATGACGTAGATATCACCCTGTAGAATTCGGCATATTTTTCAAGCCAGAAGAATCATTTGCCTACAATTTTTTCTAAATGCCTCTCTAACTGTCCGAATATTGAGCAAACTCTATTAATTTACCTGTTTTTCTTTAGTAATAACCTATGTCAATTTTATTTGAGTTAATTGAATTACTTTAAATATCATGTTTATCAATTTGTTCATATATATTTCCGCAGATTTTCTCCATGTAGTCTTCCTTTTACTCCGATTGAGGCTTATATTATTTTATTTTGCAATTTCTCGATTAGCATTCTCACAATATCACCCAACTATCATAACTTTTGTTTTTTCACTTCTAAGACGTTTATTCGTACGATCGATTTTCTCCATCACACTTCACCAAACATTCTTAATGTTCTTGTTCTTTTTTACTCAGTTGTAGACTACTAGTTGTAGAAATACAAGGTAGTATTCTTGTTCTTCTGGCAGAGTATAAACCTTAATTAACA